ACTTAAGAATCATCCAAAAGATGTACTGTTTAATTAGAACTTCAGTCATGGCCAGAACAACAGTACACAAATCAGATGAAATTAAATCAGTAACACAAACTACTTTGTAATACAAAGGTTTTCATCTGTGTTTTTTAAAAATTTACTAGTTCTTAAATACTTTGGGTTATCATACAAGAAAAAAAGGTACCACTGGCATTAGTGGGCATTACACATGGAAACAAAAAAAGAAATACCTTTCCTACAGTTACTTGATAGTAAATTATTTAATAAGGTCAATTCACACCACACACATGAACACTACCCTTCTTCCACTAAGTATACTCCAGGACTTTTCTTCAAAATTTTCTTCAAAGTTTTAACTCCCCAGGACTTCTCTGGTATGTCCTTGATTCTGCTTATTCTAGTCCTAATAGAATAATCCTCCAGAGACAACCAGTGAAAATGTTGAAATAACAAAATCCAAAATAGAGTCAAACTTCTCAGAAAAGCAGGGTTATTCACACTGATGTTCTGATGCATCACTAGACAGATGCAAAATTATAAAATGAAAGATATATTTTAAAAGAAGCGATACTGAATGATCCCAGATGCAACCCTATATCACACACTTGGTATAGGATCTATCTAGTCCAGTGATGGCAAACCTAGAGCTTGCAATGGTAACAAACAGCCCGCTGTAGCACACATGCCATAGGTTCACCACCACTGATCTAGCCGAACCCCCAAGTCTGTATTTCATCCATTCAACTCACTGGGCATTCTATTTATTACAGTCTCTAAAAAGAACCAGTTGAACACACAGTATTTTATCCTGCTGGTTTATCCAATGCGATGAGGGAGGTTATTCTGTGACATTATGAAAATGAAGATCATGTCTAATTGTGAAGTAAAAATAAGGAAGGTTCAGTTTTGGCATTAATCCTAGCTTTCAGCCTTTCTCCTACTAAAGGTATTGTGCTTAAAATGAAGCTTGCTTTAGATGGGGCAATATCTATATATTTTTTAATTAATTTTAAGGTACTTTAAACCAAGAACTTTTGGAATTCTGGCACTAAATGGCCACCAGAAATAAATTCTCTGATTTCCAATGTTAATTTAAGTGCCTCTTATCCCTAAAAATATTGTTTTCCTTAATACCAATGATGGTCATTTTGCCTAAATGACATAATTTGTTTTCCTCTTTTAGTTTTCAAACTTGAACAATGATGATGGTAATGCTAAAAGTATGTGTATAGTAAAAGTACCTTCTTAAAGAAATCTGAAATAAAAAGGTTAAGTTGGGCCGGGGATTTAGCTCAGTGGTTCCGCCACCACCTGCCTCGCAAGTGCAAGGACCCAAGTTAGATCCCCAGTACAAAAAAAAAAAAGGTTAAGTGATCTCATATAATAGACAAAGATCAAGGTAAGACTGGATATATAATGGCTAAAAAAAAAAAAAAAGCACCAAACTCCTGGAAAAGTTCATATAAGACTATCCAGGCAAATTTTTTAAATTACTACATCTAAAGAAAATATTCAAAATAGTAGTTAAATGTGCTACCTAGAAAATTAAGATTTCTCAAATTCTTTAATATAGCCAAAAGATGATATAATACATGAACAGCTCCATTTGAGGGAACCCAAGAACTAATAACAGAATCTCAAAATCTCAGAAAAGTCAATCATTTATAAGTATCTAGCAGGATGTTAACAGCACCATTATCCACTAGGTGATCTCAATCCTACACTATTCGGTGAAACACTACAACCTTTACCTAAAGGACAATGCATCCTAAAAAGCCTCAACACCGTGAAGATCTATAATTAAAAGCTTCAATATTATTAGAGAGGGAAAAAGTGAGCTAGATGTTACTACATGACTACTCAATCTTCTCTAGATCTGTCAAGTGTGAACACTCCAGGCTGTCTACATAGCTCCTGATCCTGTCCTTAAGGACCTCTGAAGATCTGCCATGTTTTCCAATCCAAGTTTCTGATGTGGTTTGGACATTTCCTTGACTTCTCTTTCTCCTATTCCTCAGATGCCTAATTACAGATATTCCTCGTTTAATGATGGAGTTAAGTTCCTGTAACTAAGTGTTAACTGAACTGGTCACTAAAGGAGAACTTGTATATAGTGTATACATTACAATACTCAGAACAAAGAAATAGTCAAAGGAAACTCCAACTTGATAACTGCTTTTATTTGCATAACTTACATGCGGTACTGTAATGTATAAGAACATAAAGCTACATTACTGTACTGTACAGTACAATCAGTAAAAATCACAGTACTGTACTACAGACGAAGCTACCATAAGGCTACACTGCCACACACGTTCCTGTGTCGTTAGTCAAGACTAGAGGCCCATAAGTCCAAACAGTTCGCCTCAGTCATTAAGTCTGAACAGTCATTGAATGAGGAATATCTGTATAACATTCCTTACCTCTAACTCAACAACTTTCACTTATATTTCTATTCAAGACAGTAAGGGTTTTTTGCTTATTGTTCCTAGTTAAGGCCTCAGGCCTTGTGTACTGTGCCCAGATAGGACTTAAAAGAGTTTAAATTTTTAATGTATTGTTTACATTAGTTCTTGTCCCTGATGATGAACAGACACTGGGGAAATACTTAAATTGTTCAACTTTTTATTAAAAGTAATTTTTTTAAACAAGGTTGATAAAACCTGAGATAAGCAAACTGTACCCTTTAAAGATTAAATTTATTAAAGCTAATTTAAACTATAATTAACCAAAACCAAACTGGGAATACTATTTCTGATCAGAGGTTTTCTTAGGGAACTACAGTAATAGTTATAGTTAACATTATAGTACAGTTAACTATGAATCAAATTAAAAACACCCTAATAAGGAAGTTAAAAGCTAATAAGAGGCCTCTGATTCCACGTAGAATCAAATCTTCTTTATAGAATAGCCAGCCAACCACATCTACATAAAAATCTTGTTGAAACAAACTAAGACAACTATGTTGTAAGAATCACAGGTATTTAAGTTAAAATTGAAGGGAATGAGTGGAAATAGTTTCAGCATTATCATGGTAGATCAGAGACACAAATGTCTTAGGAAAACCTGCATCACCATCTAATGACCTATGCTCCATTTGACTCATTGTTCTCTAAGAACTCTGATTTGAATTTACTTGCAAAAGGCGAAAGATTTATTCAATGTGAAGAGAAACCAGAGTATTACTTGTGATCCACCTAATTTTATCTTTAACACAGATGGTGTGCAATAGAAGAAAAAGGAAGTCTTGTTTTTTGTACATCAAAAGAAATCATATCTAAGAATTTAACTTAGATGACTGTTACATTTCCAAATATCTCCATTATTAACAGGTAACACTACTGAAAAGTTTCTTTGAAGAGAACTGCCCTTAAGCCTTAAAATTTTGATGACACCTCCAAATAATCTCCTTAGAGGGCTAGGGATTTAGCTCAATGACACAGTGTCTGCCTTGCAAGCCCAAGGTCCTGAATTCAACCCCCAGTACCA